TGTTGAATCAAATCTTATGCAATCATGGTATAATATTTCATGATTTGAATTTCTAGATCAAATATTTCATGATCAAATATTGATGAAATTACAAAAGATTTGAATTTCATGATAAAATATTTTATTGAAGTTTTGCATGAAATCTTTCTTTTTTAGGTCAGTCTCATACCAATCATGTTTTTTGCAAGTCACCAGCTTTTTAGACTTATGATTTGATTCAAAAATAGATCTACATGTCTTATATCATTTATTTGATATTTTATTTGATTTATTTTTCTTTTAATTGAATAAAATCAAAATAAAAAAGAAATAAAAATCACAAAAATAAATGAATGGATTTAGGAGTCTATTATAAGGTCAAGAACATGTTTGGACCTTAAAAGATAGGCCCATTAGCCCAAAAATTCAAATTTGCTCAATTTGGACTTCATGCATTTTCTCAAAATTGTCCAACTTGCACCAATTATAACTCACACAATTTTTATCATATGAAGGTGATATTAGACTCTTTGGAAAGTTCAAGATATCCCCTACAACTTTCATGTTGGTAATTTTTTCATTTGAAGTTTTTAACCTGATGTACACTGCTTTGACAAAAAATGTCTTTTTGTTGACTTTTAAAATGACTTGTAATATTTTGGCTCATATCTCTCAGATGAAGCATTTTTGGCCTTGAGCTTAGAGAGATAAAGTTGTAGAGAATTAAATTTCCATCAAAATAGGCATTGATTAAGAATTTTATGATGAAGCATGTGAAAGTTATGCTTGGTCAAAGTTCAATTGACTTCTCCTAAAGAAAACCCTAATTTAGTAACTTTTAACTTTTGATGAATCTTGAGTTTTCTTGATGAATCATGATCAACCATTAGTCAAATGATGAATGTAACTTCAAAATCTTGATGTTGACTAAAAATCTTGAAATTTAACTGTAAATTGGTCAAAGTTGACTTTTTGTCCAATACAGTTGATTTTTAATCATCTGACTAATTGTTTAAGCAGACTTGTGCTGCAAGACTTGGAACTTGGTATAAGGATACTTTGAAGCATATGAGAAACCATGAAGTCCACTTGAGGCATTAGAAGTTCAATCTTCCTTGAGAAAAATAAAACCCTAGTTGTAGGTCACTGTTTAGGAAGAGAGTTCATCTGATCAATCCTTGATTAGTCTTGAGTGTTTAAGATCCTTAGGAGCATGAAAAGATATCTTGAATTAATTTGTCTTGAAAAACGGGAGGGAAAATTTTGGGGTACAATAGTATGCCTGAATCATTTCCCTCCTAATCAAAGCATGTTGGACAAGTCTATCGTGTCTCAACCTAGATGTTCTTTCAGCCATAACTTATGTAGAAGTACGAAACAAACGTTACCAAAATACTCATGTTCAAAAAAAGGGGAAAATGTAGATAGACTAAAATCAAAGATGCATTTCCGATTTTATATGTAAACGTTGAACAAAACCATATATGTATCTCTGGTACGACCTGCAACTTTTCTGCTTCGTCAATGGCGAAGCTTGGCCACTAAGACCTCAAAAAACTACCATTGATCGTAAAAACAACCATACTAAAATATTTATTCCTACTTCTAAACTTGAAAACACTAAAAAACTTGTATTATCTAACCTAAAATAATTTCTAGGTGAAATTACATTAACTAAAAAATAACTCACAATTTCTGATTTTTGTTGGTTGATGAAGCTTGAATAATGATGTTTGTCTGTTGCTTGTTGATTTCTGATGAGATTTTCGCATAATAGGATGATTTTCACACGATGGGGAGGTTTGAGAGGGTTTTGTGTTTGAATTTTGTGTTTGAGTTCAAAAACACTTTCTGAAATGAGGAAGGGGAAGAGACAGCGCGCGTATTTGTGTTAACACGAACCGAAAATATATTTACGGACCTCTCTTGTAAGTGCATTTCATGTTTACTTCTGTGTGACATATGAGGTTTCTTAGGCTAAATTATGGTTTGTAGTTGGGGTGCTTCCGAAAATACAACTACTGGTCCCTCCCGTAAATGCATTTCCGGTTAATTCTTTGCTCTTTTATAAGGTCTTGCTCATCAAAAGTCTGGCTAAGAGTGCTTCCAGAAATACATTTCTCATAGCTGAGGACATTTATGTATTTTCGTGTGATGCGCTAGAAAAACATAAGATCTATTAAAAAATTCCCAAAAGAAATATACTAGCTTTTGAATTTGCGTTTCAAAAGGACAACAACTATTAAAAACGTCTCACCAAGAATCAAGTACATTTTTAAATTTATGCATTGTTACAATGGCATAAAGAAAAAAGAAAGGGAATTTTTTGTTATTTCATCTAAAGTTAAAGCAAGATGGTCAAATAAATTATTAAAGATAGACTTATTGGTAGTGTCATCCATACAAATTTGAGAATATGTGCAACTAACAATGGTAAAAAGAATCTCATATCTCCAATACTCTTGAGAAAGACTTGAGATTCGAATGCTCATGTTTGATGATGAATACTAAAGCCAAAATCTTTAGTCAAGAAAAAAATTCAAAAGTTCAAGGTTTAAGCTCTAAGAAATAATAGCTCTGGCTCTTTTGAAATCCCAAATAGTTGAGAAAGAGAATTTGTAAAAAAACCCTTTTCCAAAAACATTAGACCTATTTTCCTAAGAATTTTCGCATCATGTTTTACTTCAAACGCAAGACATCAATTTTAGAGGTGTCGTAGAAAAATTATATGGCCATAGGATTATTTTTTCAAACCTACTAGATACTCATCTTTAAGGATGTTGATTGCAATTCTATCTCATTAACTGAATGCTACAAACATTGTTAACATCATGCACAAAGGAATTTTGTTGTGCATGTGATTTAAAATCATTAGATTGTGATGGTTGTGGTGTTCAAGGGCTTGAATCAAGGAGCGATCAAGGGATAACAATGTTATCCACCGTGGTTAGAAAATCTTTTCAAGATGGGATTTTTTAAAAAGCTTTTTCTCAAGTGTCATCTTCCATTGTCTCTATGTTTGGGGAGATGATTGTCTACCTTTAATATTTATAACTTTGGTGTAATAACAAGATACTTAATCTAATAGAATAATTCATTTTATTGAGAGATAATGATTAGTTAGAGAGATACACACGGCAACAAAGACATGGAAGCCAAAGGTAGCAAATCTCTCCGCCTGCGTTAAACGCATCAGCATGTGCAATGCCATCAGGAGCACGTGTAGTGTCATCTTTAGGAATGGAAAAGTGGGCAGTCCGAGCATGTGTAGTGTCATCTTTAAAGATTACAAAGTGGACATTTCGTTCTGTTTAAGTCTGCCCCATTTAAGTATGTGAAAAAATGGACGGAATATAGTAGACTAATTTAAGTGTTCAAATTCAAAAGTCAAGTTCGTTCCGTTTACAAACGAGTTGACGGATTAGTAGGTCAATCTGCTAATTTTTTTATTTTTTTTTATTTTATAATTTAATTTATTACATAATTTACAAAAAAAATTTAATTATTACCATATAAATAGATAAAAGATATTTTTAATAAAACTTCAACATATTTTAAATTCAAACAGTTCAAAAATAAAATAAATAAAGAAAATAGATTAAAACACGATAAAAATAAAATAAATAAAGAAAATAGATTAAAACACGATAAAAAAATTTAACGTGTTTTGATACTTTTAAAAGTATCAAAATAAATAAACCCATATAATTTAAATTTTATTTAAACATTAACTACTAAAAGAATCAAATTAATAATTTACACAATACAAATAATAATAATAATTACAGTACATAAAATAGTAAGACATAAAATATAAATAATTGTTTCTAAAGAAAATATGTGACCTAATGTATTGACAACTTAATGATTCCTCGTGTCACACAATTTTGTTCTTTTATTTTAAATTTTTTCAACCAACACATGTATTAATAAGTTATAAAAAGAATTTTACAATTATAATTCAATTTGTATGTAAAATAATTTAGAATGCAATTCAATAACATAATCTTTAAAGAAGAGTGTCGTTTTGATAGATGAAATTGTTTTAATTCTAAGTAAAAATGAAAAAGATTTATCAAAAAGTGCGCGTGTAAAACCCGTCCCGCACTGCCTCGATCTCCTTTTTAAAGTAAATTAGACAGGACCGACCAATTTAAAATACCGAATCAAAAATCTCAGCTCAGCCCTCTGAAATTCTTCTTGTGTATTTGAGTTATGGATTTTATTTGATTTAATTCAGCTTATGTCTTGTTTGAAATTTAAAAATTATAATAGGAGATTTTTATGCTTTGACTTTAAAGAAATAGTTTCACGAAGATGATGGAGTAGGTATTTTCAAGCTTTCTCCATTGTTTAAATTGATTGGGAGCTATTGTGAATAGAAGGAGATGATTATTTATTTAGTTTATTTTTTGTGGGTGGAGATGACTAAAGTCAAACGTAGAATAGAAGAGGCTAGCGTGAGAGGGAGAAGGAACAAAACATTGTGTTGGTAGGACGAGAGAGAACACACTTACGAAAGAAGGGTGAAAGAGGGTTTGTGTTCACAGCACATGTTTCATATCATATAAAGATCTCATAAATTAACTAATAACTAATGAAAATTGCCAACAACTGCCCTTGAAACATTGTTCCAAGACAATTTTCTTTTATTAAGGAATGCCCTTGAAGCACTTGTTAGCACCCATACGAAAGTAATCTTCACTTTGAATTAGACAAAGTATGACCAACTGACAGAACCAACTAGAGAAACAGAATTACAAAATCTAGACATGACATCAACCAGATCAGTCTAACAGCTGAATCTAACTATGATATTACCAATCAGGTCAGTCTAACAGCTGAATCTAGCTATCATATTATTTTTTAACAAATATTAAGGTGGAAGCCCAAAACTAGAAGACTACAAAGAAATAAAACGAGTTGACACTTCCCTTACATGTATATTCTAGTTTATAACGACAATAGCAATAGTAGCTTATATTTTTACATATCCCAGCAAAGCAACAGTTTCTTCTGCATTACCTATACAAGGGCAAAAAAGGAAGAATGCAACAACAGAAATTACTGTCAAAATAAAACAATACAGAACACTGTCATATTCCAAGAAATAAAATAAAAAAAGCCCACAGCAATACTGAAGAGAACACCAACCTTTGGGAAGTGAATGTGCTCAGGTATGTAGGTAATTTGCAGCCATCATTAACTCCAGAGTTAATTCCGGTTCAATAGGAAACTCTCTGTCCTTTCCACTAGCAAAAACATCATACACATGTCATCACAACAATTTAAATATCACACAGAAATGAAATTTAGGGATTTATAGAGTTTAACTTCTTCAGTAAAAAAAAAAAAACTTCCCATTTCAATACTAAAAACATACTTGCAATTATCACAAAAGCAATCTAGATACATTATAAAATGATGATGTGAATGTTTCCTGCCACCACCATGGGGCGCAGAATAAAAACGCTGTGCCAACTAAAAATAGTAAGGTTGATTTGTTATTTAAAGGTCACTAAGTAAGTTGCAACCAAACAAAATAAAGGTCACTAAGTAATTTTCAATTTCAAACAATAAATAAACATCATTGAACCTAAATAGGAGGTAATAATCACTTAATAGTTCACAAATTGTGTTAGTATCCCAACTGTGGGCTCATACTCTCTAACCCACTGTAGGGAGATTATGTGAGGAAAATAGAGAATAAGAAGTTACCACTGATGTGGCAGATGGGGTAGCAGGGTGTGTAGTTGTGGGCGGGGAACTTTGTTATAAGGAGTGAGGTGAGGATGAGAGAGGAAATGTAAAAGTGTATTTCTGAGGAGCCTTGCTCTATGAGTAGATTGGGAATCTGGGATCTTAATCCTATCTGCATTTGCCTTTCATATTGCATAAAATACATGAGTGTGGCCAACTGGATGGACATAAATTTGAAATTTTTCTCCAATTACAATTCTATCATCTTCCACTAAACCTCCCTTTTGTGACATATTCTCAGTCAAAAATAACAAAACTATCCAACATTTGTTAATGACACCATTAAACCCAAGGACAATGAAAGATCTATCAAGTACGTAAGATAACTGATCAAACATAAACTTGGAAGTAGGAATGCAAAATTTTGTCATCTAAACTTGTATCAAACTTCCAAATTGCAGGTTTAAAATTGAATATAAGCTTGAATTATAGAAAAATCTCAGACACATTACACATTACATATCACATTAAACTATACCCCTTCAATGTAGAAACTAAATTTCACAAAAATTAACAATTAATAACAGAAATCAAAACACTTAACAAGTGATGTAACTAGACATAGAATCAATAAATCAAAAAGCACAGCAACAAAGAACAAAATCCAATTCGAAAATGAAAATTAAAAGACCTTAAATAAAAATTGAAGATGATAACAGCAACGAAACCTAAAAATGAATTGTAGGAGAGAATCAAATACCTGGCGAATTCAAGATGCCAATAAAAATACTGACAAATCTTCTCAAGAATAGTGGTACTGATCTCAGGAAAAGTCACTTCTCCGTGCTGGCTTTCAGCAAAACTCCCTATCAAAAACATAATTAAATCTTTGAACAATCCTAATTATGCATAAATTAACGTTAATTTGGAATCGGAACCCTAATTGCGCTAACAGAGAAACTTCAAAAAGGTAAGGCGATCGAAGGAGAGAAAACCTGGAGAAGTAAGCATGTTGCGAATGGTTTGAGAAACCATGGCAGCTTCTTTGTCAACCACGAATTCGAAACCCTCGGAACTGATCAGTTTCACTGTTTCTTCTTTCTTCATCTTTTCCTTTTTCGTTTCGTCGATCGCTTCTGGTGACTCGAAAATCTCAAATCCCGATTACAAACGGTTGTTGTTGAATCGGAAAACGGCTGGGTCCCACTTATAACCCGTTTATCTATATGTATATGGACTGGCCCATTATCATGTTACGGGTTTTATACATCAAATGCAACAAAGATATAATATGCCACCCCACACTTATACATGACACCCATCAATATATATGCTTTTACTATTATATTTTTATAAATAATCATTAAATTTCAAACAAGATGAGTTTTACCGGAAATTTTAAGAAAAATATAGTAAAGACCATCAAGCTCTTTAGCTAAGCTAATCCTCCTTCAATCCTTCTTTGCATGTATCACATATCTGTCAATTTCAAATACAAGATGACAATCTTGCTCTTTACACACTTTTTAAATTGAAATCAAATTGACTTCAAATTGAGGCAAGTAAAGAACACCTTCAAGGATCAGCTCATTAGACAATTTTACATTTCCATAAATAGTTGCACTTATTGAGTTTCCATTAGGTATATTAATCATTATAGGGCTAATTTTTTCATGATAGATAAACCATTCTAAAGAATGACATATGTGGTGTGTAGCACCTATATCTAGAATCTAATTTACACTACTATGAGTATTAAAGCTAGCAATGCAAGGATTAACTCCCTTAGTGTAAGTGTTTGTTGGCAGTAATTTTGGTAAAACAATGCTTTGGTAATGTTCTTCTTAATGTCTTGACAGTTGAAGTAAAACATCTCATCTGATTTTGAATGATGTCAAAGAAGATATCTTGACATCTGCCTTCTGATCTGAACGTGCTTTTCAGATCTTATGTTTCCTGTTTTTAAGCGCGCCTTATTCAGGATTTGTGGTTTATATCTTGCGAAAAATATGGATGAATATTTTTTGATCTGTTTTATCCTTATGGAGCCTATTTTCATGGAGATATTCAAGGGATTCAATATATTGATATATTTGGTTTTCAGCCCAAGCCCGCTGCTGCGCCTTTATAAGGACTTGCATCCTTATTTGTTCAACTGCAACTTTTGAAGAAGAAAATATTATTTGTGTTTGGAAGTCTAAATCTTTTAATTGTAATACACTCTAGTATTATTTCAATACTTGAGTTGTAATTTTTTAGGGAGTTATTAATTGTGGATCATTCATAAGCTTTTAAGTGTTGAATGATTGAGGTTTTTCAAACTTAATAATTCTGTTGTTTTTCACTGTTAGTGATTGGAGATATTTTAGGAGGGCCTCATACCTAGGTGTGTCTTAGGTAGAAGTATAGCACGGGTAGTGATTAAGTGATTAGATCGTAAACTGATTGTTTATTGAGGGTCTATGAATTGATACTATTTAGTGGACTTGTCCCTGGCTTGGTAGCCCCCAGAGTAGGTGTTGTTGTACACTGAATTAGGTTAACAATCCCTTGTGTTTTTACTGCTTTCATATTGTATTTTATATTGTCCTCAGATATTTGTGTCATGACATCTCCTTCGACATCACATATTTATTACCAGAATTTCAATTGGTATCAGAGCAGGAATCCTGCTCTGTATCTGGGTGAGATTTAGGGAAGTTACTTTCTGGTACTATGGACAAGGAAGGAGGATTTATGAATAGACCACCCATTCTGGATGGAAACAATTATGACTATTGGAAACCGCGTATGGTGGCCTTTCTAAAATCTCTTGACAGCATGGCTTGAAAAGCTGTCCTAAAAGGATGGAAACACCCTGTTAAATTGGGAGAAGATGGAGAACCTACTTCTGAGTTAAAGCCAGAAGAAGATTGGTCTAAAGAAGAGGATGAAATTGCTCTCGAAAATTCTAAAGCCTTGAATGCTATATTCAATGGAATTGCCAAGAGCATTTTCAGATTAGTGAACAAATGTGAAGTAGCTAAGGATGCCTGGGGGATTCTTCAATCTACCCATGAAGGCACATCCAAAATTAAGATGTCAAGACTTAAGTTGAGCACCACCAGATTTGAAAATCTGAGAATGAAGGGTGATGAAAGTATTAATGACTTTCATATGTACATTCTTGAGATTGCTAATGCAACCAGTGCTTTAGGAGAAAAATACCCGAAGACAAATTGGTGAGAAAGATGCTTAGGTCTCTCCCCAAGAGATTTGATATGAAAGTGACTGCCATAGAAGAAGCACAAGACATTGACAAGATAAAAGTGGATGAACTTGTTAGATCCCTCCAGACATTTGAATTAAGCATCAATGGAAGATCTGAAAATAAGAACAAAAGCATAGCCTTTGTAACCAATACTGAAGATGAAGAGGAAGATTGTGATCTGGATACAGACGAAGGAATATCTAATGCTTTGGTTCTTCTTGGAAGACAGTTTGACAAAGTGATAAAGAAGATGGATAGGAACCCAAGATCAAATGTCAAGAAAATCTCATCTGACATTCATAAGTCAAATGAATTTGGAAGAAAAAGGGCTGAAGAAAAATTCACTCAAGGAAAGGGAATACAATGTCATGGATGCGAAGGTTTTGGTTACATTAGAGCTGAATGTCCTATATATCTTAAGAAACAGAAGAAGAATCTATCAATTACTTGGTCTGAAGAGGACTTTGAGAGTGACCTTGAAGAGGAATCTGCCAAGTATGTTAAAGCATTGACATGCAAATATGTCTCTGATGAAGATTCTAGTGATGGTGAACTAACCTTTGATGAGTTAGTTTCCTCATACAAAGAACTGTGTCTCAAAAGTGCAGAAGTCTGCCTAGAAGGGGAGAAATAGAAAGCTCTCATAACTCAGATGAAGGCAGAAAGGAAAGAGCATCTGAAAACTATCTCTAGTCTGGAAAGTGAAATGACTTCTCTGAATTCGAATCTTGACAGATTGGTCAAATCTCTCAAGATGCTGAATAATGAGTATGACACATTAGATGAAATTCTTCAAGTTAGAAGAGTGACAGGAGATAAGAGTTGTTTAGGGTTTAATGAGAAAAAGGAACCTGGTTCAGAAGAACCTTCATCAGATTCCACTCATGCCAAGTCTAAACCAAAGATGTCGAATCAAATGTCTAGACATCATGGCAAGAAAAAAATTTAATCAAACTAAAGAGAAATTCCAGCCCTGGAGGTGTCACCATTGTGGAAGGTTTGGCCATATAAGACCTTTCTGTTTCAAGTTGTATGGGTACCCTAAAACTACTCCTCTCCTTGAGACTGATCAGATCTCTCAAGATAGAAAAAAGAAGAAACAGTGGGTTCCCAATACCATTGTTGCTAGTCTCATAGCTCATATCTCTCTCAGAGTCTCAACCAAAGATGATTGGTACTTTGACAGTGGTTGTTCTAGACACATGACAGGTGTTAAAAATATGTTGGTAGATATCAAATCTCACTCCACCAATTATGTGAATTTTGGTGATGGAGCCAAAGGTGAAACCAAAGGAGTTGGAAAGCTGGAATGTTCATGAGTCCCAAAACTTGATGATGTATTATTTGTTAAAGGGTTAACAGCTAACCTAATAAGTATAAGTCAACTTTGTGATCAAGGGTTCAAAGTTAACTTCACCAAGGCAGAATGTCTCGTTTGTAATGAGAAGAATGAATTTATTATGAAAGGAATCATATCTAAAGACAACAATTATTTATGGGTTCCCCAAGAGTAGAGCCTCTCTTCAACCTATGCTTTAGCCAAAGAAAATGAAGTTAAATTGTGGCATCAAAAACTGGGACACTTGCATTTGAAAGGAATGAAAAGAATCATATTTATTGAAGTCGTGAGATGGATTCCTAAGCTCAAAATAGAAGAAGGGAGAGTATATGGTGAATGCCAGATTGGAAAGAAAACTAAGATGTCACGTCAGAAGATCCAACATCTCACTACATCAAAAAGTTTTGGAACTTCTTCACTTGATGGGACCTATGCAGATTGAAAGTCTTGGTGGAAAGAAGTATGCATATGTTATTGTAGATGACTTCTCTAGGTACACATGTATAAGTTTTATCAGAGAAAAATCAGAAACTTTCGAAGTCTTTAGAGATCTATGTCAAAAACTTCAAAGAGAAAAGGATAGTCATGTCATCAGAATAAGAAGTGATAATGGAAAGGAATTTGAGAACAATAAATTTTCTTATTTTTGCTCTTCAGAAGGAATCAATCATGAATTTTCCTCTCCCATTACTCCTCAGTAAAATGGGATCGTGGAACGCAAAAACAGAACCCTTCAAGAATCTTCCAGAGCTATGCTTCATGCTAAGAAGTTACCCTACCACTTTTGGGTTGAAGCTATGAATACTGCGTGCTATATCCATAACAGAGGCTCTCTAAGGAAAGGCACTTCAGCCACCTTGTATGAAATATGGAAGAGAAGAAAACCTATTGTCAAATACTTTCATGTTTTTGGAAGTAAGTGTTACATCTTATTTGGTCGTGAATAGAGAAGGAAGATGGATCCCAAGAGCGATGAGGGAATATTCCTGGGTTATTATACAAATAGCAGAGCTTACAGAGTCTTTAACTCCAGAACTAAGGTTATGATGGAATCCATAAATGTTATTATTGATGATAGAGGACGAAATGATGAAGAAGATATCTTAGAAGATGTTGAAACATCATTGTCTGATATTCCAATAGAATCTAATGACAGAGGTACTGATCCTAATCCACCTCAAAAAGATCTTGAGCCCAGTCAACTCAATAAAGGGCCTTCAATCAAAATTTAGAGAGATCATCCTAAGCGGCTTATTATAGGAGATCTAAATAAAGGATTTACTACTAGATCAAGAGAAGGGATGTCAAACTCTTACTCTGTTTCAAAAATTGAGCCTAAGAGTGTCAAAGAGGCCTTAACTGATGAGTTCTGGATTAATGTTATGCAAGAAGAGCTAGAACAATTAAGAAGAAATGAAGTTTGGGATCTGGTTCCAAGACTTGAAGGGACAAATGTTATTGGCACTAAATGGGTATACAAGAATAAATCTTATGAAAAAGGGGGTGGTTACTAGAAAT